ATAATGTGTCCCATCCACCTGACCGCTCGCTCCCGGTCCCCGCGTGCGCACTATGGCTGCCGCTTGACCCGAGCCCCTCACCCCCTCCTCCCTCCCCTCCTCTCTCCCCAAACCCTCCCCCTCTGCATCTCTCCCGCTCTCTCCTCCTCTCTCTCCGTCCCTCTCGCTTCTATCCCCACTTGACCCTCCCACAACCTCCCTCTGTCCAGCCTGGGAATCCTCCGCCCGGCTCACCGTGGCACTCGGCGTTGGCTGTCCAGCAGCAGCCACACCGACTGCCCCATTCCCCACCACACTCGCCAGCCACCCCGGACACAGACCCGGGGAGCCAACCTCTCCTCCCTCATCCCCATTCCCCCACCCCTGCCTCACAACCTGGACCCCCCCCCTCCCACACACCCTTCTGTCAACCGCTCCCTCCACATCGGACTGCAAAATGTCCGCTCCCTCTGCAACAAGGCCCTGGTCATCAACGATCTCATCCTTGATGAGAACGTTGATATCATGGCCTTAACGAAAACCTGGCTCACCCCAGGCGACACCTTCCCCCTCACGGAGGCCACGCCACCCGGCTACACCTCCCACCACATCCCCGCCCCAACCGCCGTGGCGGTGGTGTTGCCCTTATCTCAAGGACACCACTTGCCCTATCCCCCTACTCCTCTGGCTCTTTCCCCTCTTTGAGCACCTCACCCTCTCCCACCCCTCCTTCCTCTCCCTCAAAATCCTCCTCCTCTACCGGCCCCCTAAAACCTCTCCCACCTTCATCTCTGATATTTCAACACTCCTCACATCTCTCTGCCTCTGCTCTGATCGCCTCATCATCCTGGGCGACTTTAACCTGCACTTCACCCCCTCCTGCTCCATCTCCTCAGACTTCTCTTCCCTGCTCTCCTCACTCAACCTCTCCCTCCACATCAAACTCCCCCACTCACAGTCACGGCCACCCACTCGATTGGTGATCACCCGGGGCCTCAGTGTCTCGGATGTCACTATTACCGACAAGGCCATCTCCGACCACCACTTCATCTCCTTCACCACCTCCACCCCCTCCCCACCTCCACCAGACCCACCACCATCTTCTACCGCCCTTGGAAGAAGTTACCCACAATCCCTAACCGATGCCTTGGAGTCCTCTGAACTCCTCTCCCTCTGGCCTTCAACCCTCACCGACCCCTCTTCTCTCACCCTCCTCCACAACACCCTCTCCTCCACACTCGATACTCTTGCCCCATCACTTCCCGTACTGTCTCCTACTCTCGCTCCTCCCCCTGGTTCACCACCCACCTCCGCTCACTGAAGAGCCAGGTGCGGGCCGCTGAACGCACCTGTGTCAAATCTGGCCTAACGGTCCACCGACAAATCTGGCTGGACCTCCTCAAAATTACCGCTCCACTCTAGCCTCGGCCAAGTCGTCCTTCTACTCCAGGATAATCCTGGAGGCGAAGAACAACCCCAGGCTACTGTTTTCCACCACATCCCGACTCCTCCGTCCCCCCGCCACCCCGCGCAGGTCATCTCCTCCAACCTTCACTGCGAGGAGATGCTGGATTTCCTTGAATCCAAGATCAAGGGAATCCGCTCCGCGGTCACTTCCCCTCCAACATCCACCCACCACCCACTACCCACTCCTTCCCTCCCACACTCCGACTCCTACCCATCCTCCCCTACACACCTTCGTACCCGTTTCCCCACCCTCTGTCACCAAACTCATCCTATCCCTGAAACCCACCACCTGCTCCCTTGACCCCATCCCCACTCCACTCCTTATCTCCCAGCTCCACCTCCTTGCCCCACATATCACAGACATCGTCAACCTGTCCCTCTCCTCTGGCTCTGTTCCCATTCCCTTAAAAACTGCCACCATCACTCCCACCTTAAAAAAACCCTCCCTTGATGCGTCGCAGCTATCAAGCTACCGGCCCATCTCCAACCTCCCCTTCCTGTCCAAGGTCCTGGAACGAGTTGTCGCCTCCCAGCTGCGCTCTTTCCTCTCCACCCATTCACTATTCGAACCCCTTCAGTCGGGTTTCCGTGCTGCCCATAGCACAGAAACTGCCCTGGTCAAGGTCACCAATGACATCCTGACCATCTGTGACCAGGGCTCCCTCTGCCTCCTCGTCCTCCTCGACCTATCGGCAGCATTCGATACGGTCGACCACGCTATCCTCCTCCACCGCTTGTCCTCCCACCTCAACCTTCAAGGCCCTGTCCTTGAGTGGTTTAGGTCGTACCTCTCCCACCGTCTTCACTTTGTCTCCACAAATGGTTTTTCCTCCACCCCCGCACTGTCTCGTGCGGTGTCCCTCAGGGCTCTGTCCTCGGTCCCCTCCTCTTCACCCTCTATATGCTCCCCCTGTGGTGACATCATCCGCAGACATGGGGTTAACTTCCACATGTATGCGGATGACACCCAACTCTACCTTTCCTCCTCTACCCTCAACTCCACGACCACCGATGTCCTGACAGCTGTCTGTCCGACATCGAGTCCTGGACGAGAGACAACTTTCTTCAGCTCAACGTGCGCAAAACTGAGGCCCTCCTGATTGGCTTACGTCAGCGCCTCCGCACCTCAGGCGCTGACACCATCAGCATCCAAGGCTGCACTCTCCACCTCTCAAAGCCATCAGGAACCTCGGGTTCTGTTCGACCCTGAGCTGTCCTTTCTCCCTCATATCCGCGCCACAACTGGCACCGCCTTCCATCACCTCCGGAACATCGCCAGACTACGGCACTACCTCACCCCTCACGCGGCTGAAACTCTGGTCCACGCCTTTATCACCTCAAGGCTGGACTATGGGAACTCTCTCCTCGCCGGCCTTCCCGGCCCTCCCTCCACACTGCAGGTCATTCAGAACTCTGCAGCTCGTGTACTGTCCCGCACCAGACACCGGACCACATCACTCCCACCCTCACCGTCGCTCACCTCCACTGCTCCCCATCCCCCAGAGGATCGAATTCAAGATCCTCATCCTCACCTACAAGGCCATTCCCGGCCTCACTCCCTCCTACCTCTCCGACCTACTATCCCCCTACCTATCTGCCCGTACCCTCCGTTCCTCTGGCTCCGATCTGTTCCACATCCCCCGCCCTAACCGCCCTACCATCGGTGGCCGGGCCTTCAGCCTCTCAGCCCCGAGGCTCTGGAACTCTATCCCCCAGTGCCTTCGCCGCCTCCTCCCTTTCCTCCTTCAAGGCCGGTCTCTAGACCTTTCTCTTTGACCGAGCCTTCAGCTCCCCTCTCGACTCTCTACCCCCTCCTCACTCCCTCCCTTCCCTCCCCTCACCCTGACCATTTCCCCAATGCTCGGGTCCTGATCCAACTGTACAGTGCCTTGGGACGTCCTCCCGACGTGAAAGGCGCTCAATAAATGGAATCTTGTTGTTGTTGTTGTTGATCAACCCTACTCCTCCGCTCTCCCCCCAGAGCCCTGATCAATCCCACTCCCCCCTCAGAGCGCTGCAAACTTGTTCTCCCCAAATAATTATCAACTTCTCTCTTAAAAGTTGTTATGGAATCGGTTCCCATCAGCCTTTCAGGTAATGCATTCCAGATCCCAACAACTCGCTGTGTGAAAACATTTCTCCTCCCCTTCCCTCCCCTCTGTTTCTTTTAACAACTATTGTGGAGTCCTGTAGCTCAGTGGTTAGAGCACTCGCTTTGCAAGCGAGAGACCTGAGTTCAATTCCAGGCAGAGGGCGAAACCTTGGGCAAGTTTCCTTACTCCACACAGAGCCTAATAATAATCCCTCCAAAAAACCAAAAACAATAATTAAATTGGTCATTTTCAATCTATGACTGTTTGTGGGACATTGCTGTGCGCAATTGGCTGCCGCGTTCGCCCACAAATATACAGTCAACTCACTTTACAGTATATTCTGTGAAGCGCTTTGGGACGTCCTCCCGACGTGAAAAGCGCTATATCAAATGCAAGGATTATTATTATTATTATTTTAAATCGATGTCCTCGGGTTACCGACCCCCCCCGCCCCGCGGGAATATTTTCTCCTTCTTCACCCTATCGAATCCCCTCATCATTTTGAAAACTTCTATCAAGTCTCCTCTTAACCTTCTCTGCTCTGAGGAAAATAATCCCAGTTTCTCTCGCCTCTCCTGATAATTGAAGTCCCTCATTCCTAGTACTATCCTGGTCAATCTCCTTTGCACCTTCTCCAATGCCTTGATACCTTTCCTAAAGTGTGGGGTCCAGAACTGAACACAGTCTCTAACTGAGGTTTAACCAGTGTTTCATGAAGGTTTATCATAAATGCAACGACTATTAACATTGTTATTTCAATACATTTCCTAGGTGTGGTATAATCCAATATAAAAGTAATACAAAGAGGAGCAGTTTAGGAACCAAGTTTTGCGGAAATATAATCTGAAGCTTCAAAATAGTAAATTAGTCTTACTGTAGGGAGTGTGAACTGAGCGGAAATATAATCTGAAGCTACGAAATTAATTCCCACTTTGCATCCATTTAACCTTCAGCTTGCAATGTTTGCAAAAAAATTTGGTTCTCTGTTGATACGGAGACCCTGAACAGCCGTTCACATCTGTTAACTTCAGTGAGAGAAACCATTTTGATTTAGTCGCTTGATTCAAAACGGGTAATTTTGTACACCCCAATTTTTTTCTCTCTCCCTTTGCTTACCTTCAGGTGACTAGGGTAGGAACTGCCTGGAGGCTTGGCTGTGGGGGGAGGAGTACTCGGGGGGGTGGGCCCTGCTGAGGGGGCAGAGACTGCGGCTGCAGCATCGCTGGCAGTGTAATCCTGAAAAGCTGCGATGTGCTCAGGCCTGGGGAATAAGAGGAACAGCACCTGCTTAGGTTTCGCCCACAAAACACACTTTACAACCCAATAAAGTAGTCGTGAACATCCCCCAGTTTGAGCTGAATTTCGCCACAAAATGTACAGTCAATTCACTTTACAGTATATTCTGTGATTGTGTTTGAGACGTCTCAACAACATGATAAGGTGCTGTAGCAAATGCAAGATTATTATTATTAGCTGATCTCAGGGAGGGAGGCTAATAATTGGCCTCTGGCCGGGGTTAGAAATGAGCCAGGCTTTCAACGGGACAGAGATAGAATGTTAGTTCTTTGCGCTCAAATCCCTTTGTGGTCTCTCCCCATCCCACCTCTGCGACTTCCTCCTCCTCCAACCTTATTGACCACCCCCCCCCACCGCCCCCACCTCCAACCAGCTAACACTGACCTGCTTTGTGTCCCTGCCTACCCATCCCACCATTGGTGGGTGAGATTTCAACCATTCTGCCCCCGATTACTGGAACACCATCCTGGAGTCCCTCCGCCTCACCCCCTCCATCCCCACCTTTAAAGCTGACCTTAAGAACTTTCTTTTCAACGGGCCCCCATTTCCACAGCTACCCTACTCCGAGCTCCTAATCGCCTCTGTGAAGTGCTTTCAAACAGCCTCCCGACACGAAAGGTGCTGTATAACTATAAAAATGTTGTTCTTTAAAAGTTTGCCCTGCTTACTTTTCAACTGTGATGCAGATAACTGTACCAAGGGGCACATCCCGAGTCCCTGCTGGTATCAGGATTTTTGCCATGTAGCATTCCTCCAGACACTCAAAGCCAACTGTTGCTTTGTCAGTTTCCACCTGTTGAAAAAGGATAGACTTTACCACTGCACAAATACATCCTCAGTAATTGAGAACCGCCCTGCGATCTGTCCTGCAAAAATGACAGTATCAAGTTCAATGTTACTACAACTTTCCCACAATTAAAGGAGCCAACAGGCATTCTGGCAATATTTTTACAGAAATAAGCAACTACTTCTATTTTACAATAGAATATTTTACGATAGAATATTTTACGATAGAATATTTTACAATACTCATTTGCAATTAACACAACTCTCGTTAAACCTTTTGACAAGAAGCATAGATTATCTTGGAATGGTTACAGTGCGGCTGAACTTCTCAGGCCGCTCAAACAATCAGTGCATCAAGCCAGTACTCTTACAATGTAGTTATTCATGCACTCAGTGACGCTGCCCCACTTAAGGGTGCTAAATAAATGTAAATTGTCGTCGTTGTTGGGTGAATCTATTCTGTTCTGGCGACATTTTGAGAACCACATTTAATATGGCAAGTTGATTTGAAGGAGCCAGAAAGATTTAATGGTTACCTTGGCTACTATATTTTTCACCCATAAAATATACAATATATTCTGTGAAGCTCTTTGAAATGTCTTGAAGACGCGATAAGGCACTATATCCTGTAGCAATACAGCGTGGCGTCTGTAGCTCAGCGAGAGGACCTGGGTTTGATTCCCGGCCGGGTGGAACCTTGGGCAAGTTTCCTTACTCCACACACCTGATAATCCCTCGTGAAAAAAATTAATAAATTGGTCACTTCAATCCATGACTGTTTGTGGGACAGATGCTGCTGTGCGCAATTGGCTGCCGTGTTTCGTCCGTACATATACAGTCAATTCGCTTTACAATATATTGTGTGAAGCGCTTTGAGACGTCTAGAAGACATGGAAAGTGCTATATCAAATGCAAGGATTATTATTATTATTAAATGCAAGGATTTTTACTCGAGCAGCTGCCAAACAAGTTTCAGCCATAGAAAAGAACATCCAATTCTGAGCTGCACAGACTTCTGCTCAGGAAACATCCTCCAGTGCATATAAAACAGGGTATCACAGTACCTCAGCTATCAAGTCTCCCTCATTTATCTTTTCTCCTTCCTCCTTCTCCCACCGAGCTATAGTCCCCATCTGCATTGTGGGCGACAGAGCTGGCAATGGCACCTATGACCAGAGAAGTAACAATGACAGTCAATTATATTTTCTTTGTCCTTGTGATACAGTAACACAGTAATAGATAGAGGGTTAGATGTCAAAATACATACATACATATATACATCAACTAGTGCCATGACAATGCTGGTTTACTAATGATTATTTTTTACAACTTTCCATCATGTGAGAGGAGCAACAGGAGAAAATATAAACTCTAAAAAGAGTTTAAAGGTTTAAAGAGTTTAAAATTAATACTGGATCGTGTCGCCCCCGGACATGCGTTATACCTGTAACAGTAAATAAAACTTTATAGCACATCACTAACAAGTTTGCAAGAATCAAGTATGGAAAGAAAAGAGTTCAGGATAAAAGAGGACCGCGTAGAGGCAGTGAACTTTTCTAGGCCTTAGTCTCCTGTAAAATTCAAACGCTACTTGATAATGACAATTTTCTTTGCTGTAAGGAAACAAAGCTACTGTGCTCAGCACCTCTCCATCAATACCGATCAGCAGCTTGCTGCTTTCTGTCAAAGGATGTGTCCAGCTACTCAATGCACCAAGCCAGCACGACAATGTACATAGTGTTCACAAAATCCTGTTACCAACACCACACCAACGTGTTTTTTTTCTTACAATTAAGCTTTATTTCTGTTGCAGATGAGTCGTGTTTAGCAATGTCTGATGTAACTTCCTTCTCACTCCATCCATGTTACATTAAATAAATTAACAATAATTCAGTTTACAGTATATTCTGTGAAGCACTTTGAGAAGTCTCGAAGACGTGATAAGGTGCTATATCAAAAAGAAGCAAGGATTATTATGATTAAACACTTGCACTGAATACAATTAAGCACTTCTAAATAAAACTCTCATCATTCTTTCAGTTGTTGGTCAGTGAACTGTATAAAAAAAGCATGGGGTAAGAGGACTTTGGAAATATTTGGAAGATTTGGGGTGATTTAATTTAATGGTAGACAATTCATGTGCACATGACCATGACCACAGGTTGCTCTTACACTGGACATCCTTGACATCTCTAAAAGCAAATAAAACTTTATAGCACATCACTGAACAAATCTGTATATAAAAAAAATCAATTCCACATAGAAATTAAGTAAATGATGTATTTCAATGTTGAATTCAACATACATATTGAAGACAAAAACAGAAGTCGCTGGGAACACTCAGCATGGACCTGAAACGTGGACTCACTTTCCTTTCTCCATAGATGCTGCCTGACCTGCTCAGCGCTCCCAGCGACGTCTGTTTTTGTTTCAGATTTCCAGTATCTAACAGTATTTTGCGTTTTGTTTATACATATTGAAGAGTTGAACACTTTGAAGGTTCGAAGACTTAAGCTCGCAACACAGACCAAGATCCACAGCAGTACCCAGGGTGGTTGAGAGGTTTGTCAGATGAGAATATCTCGGCGTCTTCTAGTAATTCTGACAGGTGCTATACATCCATCCAACTCCCATTCCCTAAGCTCTTTCCGTGTGCCCTCTAATACCCTTCCTCCACATGTGCTTGTGCAATTCTCATTCTCTTTTAAATGTCGCCAATTGACTCTGCTCTAACCTCAGTCCACACCCTGACAACAGCCTGGGAGACTTTCTTCCAAAACTTCTCCTATTTACTCCCTAGTCACGATCTTGAATTCATGCCCTCTGGTTCTCGAATTTTATACCAGTGGAACAAGTTTTTTCATGATTAATTCTTCCCTTATCCTAATATGTCTATCATATCACTCTTCAACCTTTCCACTTCAACACGAACAATCCTAACCTCTCTAGCCTCATGGTTATATCGAGGTTTCGGATGAAAATGGCCCATCAGCATATTTCATTGCATCCTTCCAGAATCCACACCCCATCATCCTCCCAATAAAGAATCAGCATTTTTTTAAAAAAAAACAAGTTTCAGTGTCCTGGCTACAACCACTCTGCCTGGGAATCTTTTTCTGGTCATATAATAATAATCCTTGCATTTGATATAGCGCTTTTCACGTCTTCGAGACATCTCAAATAGCTTCACAGAATATACTGTAAAGTGAATTGACTGTATATGTGTGGGCGAAATGCGGAAACCAATTGTGCACAGCAGCGTTCCACAGACAGTGGTGGATTGAGTGACCAAATAATTTTTTTTCTTGAGGGATTTTTATCAGGCGTGTGGAGTAAGGAAACTTGCCCAAGGTTTGCCCAGGCGTGAATCGAACCTCTCGCTTGTGAGGCGAGTGCTCAAACCACTGAACTGCAGGTCTCCACAGGACTTTTCAGTGAGTAAGTTTCTCCTCCTCACTGAAAAGATCCCACCTTCCCAGTGTCTGTCCTGAAATTGCCCTTTGCAACTCTAATTGTTCTGGGTTGACTTTATCAATCCTGTATACCTCTACAAGGTTGTCTCCTTGCGAGAGCGAAGGGCTCTTGGCTTCTCTGATCGTTGTTCAGAGCTCATTCCTCAGACAGTGGATCATCCTCTCCACTCAGGCAGCCCCATTATTTCACAGAGACCAGAGCTGATATGAGACAGCAGGTGAGGTCTGACCAGAAACAGACACGGTGTGCACCAAGTGCAGTCTGATCGTCACTGAATGTCTCAGTGCTTCGCAGGATTCACAAGCCTTAAAGAGGTATGGGGAAAGCAGGTCGGTGGGATTGAAAGAAGAGCTTGCTGTTAAGATTCCGAGACACCATCCTGCGTGAAAAGTGCTATATAAATGCAAGTTGTTGTTGGTGATAGCCGTCACGCATCAAACAATAAATTATATTTATACAATGTCTTTCATGTCAGGAGGAGGTCCCAAGGCCCTGGAGAGTTGAGGGTTTCCACCCAAGCTGGGGGTTGGAGTCATTAGGGATGGAGCGAGTGGGAAGATGTCCAAAGGCAAAAGTCAAAGAGGAAGGTCTTGAGACAGGCTTTGAAGGAGGCAAAGGACAGGGCTCCTTCTGTGTTGGAGTTTGAACGATTTAACGCATGACGCGGTTTGTGTGAAGCGCTCCGAAATGGTGCCGCTGTGAAGGCCGCTATATAAAGACAAGTTGTTTTTGTGGGACACCTACAAAATATATATTCAATTCTCTTCACGGTATATCCTGAGACGCCTCGAAGATGAGATAAGGTACTGTACAAAATGCAAGGATTATTATTATTTATTATAATAATAATCATCTAAATCATATATGAACCCGAGTCCCATTCGGTCACTTAAATCGATGGCTGTTGTGCGCAATCAGCTGCTGCGTTTCACCCACAAATATACAGTCAATTCACTTGGCAGTATATTCTGTGAAGCGCTTTGAGACCTCTTGAAGACGTGATAAGTGCCATATCAAATGCAACGATTATTATTTATTATTATTAAAACCACTCAAGATTTCTTTGCACAAGTCATATCAATCTTCTCCTGACGCACATTGCAACACAAAATACACAGTGACTCCACTTTACAGTGTCCCCTGTGAAGCGCATTGAGATGTCGTGACGATGTGATAACAACAACAACAAATTACACTTGTATCAACAACAACAAATCCCCGGCACTCCCCTCCCTCCCTCCCTCCCTCCCTCTCCGACCTCCTCACTCCCCAATCCACCACCCGGTCAGCGCCTCCGCTCGACCGGCCCCGGCCTCCTGCTCGTCCCCCGCGCCCTCCGCCCCCACCATTGGAGGTCGTTCTCTCAGCCACTGCGCCCCGAATCTCTGGAATGCTCTCCCTCGGACTCTCCGCCGCACCCCACCGCCCCCTCTCCCCTTCCTCCACGTCCCGCTTGAAAAGCCTTCTGTTCGACCCCCCCCACCCCCACCCCCGCCCCCCGGCTCGGAGTCAGGCTCCGCCCCTGTTAAGCGCTCTGAGACGCTGCCCTGCGCTGGGGCGGGGGGGGCGGCACTGGGTAAGTGCAAGTTGTCGCCACCGCCGTATCACGCCCTTCACATCGGAAAAGACGTCCCAATCCCCGTCCCCCCCCCACCCCCATCCCCCCCCCCCCATCCCCATCCCCCCCCCCCCATCCCCCCCCACCCCCGTCCCCCTCTCTCGCTCTCTCTGTGTCCCCCTCCCCGCCCTGAGGTCACTGAGGAGCGGAGCGGTGCGGGGGGGGGGGGGGGGGGGTGAGGCACTATGTCAAGTGCGAGGATTATTATAATTGTTATTAATAGTGTTATATTATCGGAGCGGAGGGGCCTGGGAAGGCCAGACTGGACCAGACTAGGCCCAGGCCTCGGGTTGTCCTGCCTCCTGACCCCCCCACTCCACCCCCCAGAGCCCCCTGAAGCTCACCAGCTGGTGCGGGGGCAAACTGTACCATCTCCTGGCCGAGGCCGCGGGGCCCTGCAGCCCCGCTCTGTGCAGCCACAGCTGCCGTGTAGGCCTCAGGCCTCCCGGGGCGGCTGTCCTGCTCCTGCAGCCGGTCACCGAGTAGCGGCGCCGGGCCTGACAGCTCACCCCGCGGTACCGGCCTCTCAGCAACGACTGGCCCACGCACTGCCTCAGCCTGGCCGCCTGGCGCAGCATGTTTGCCTCTGGCCCTGGGCCTGAGCCTCGGCCTGGCCTGGCGCGGTGTCTCGGCTCTCGCTTCTCCTCAGTGACCTCCAGGCGGAGGTGACAAACACAGAAGGAGGGAGAGAGGGTCGCAGGTTGTTAGGCGGGTGGGCGGATGCAGCGGCGGCGGAAGTGACGGAGTGGCGCAGCGGGTAGCGCGCCCGCCCCCGGGGCCAGAGAGCGACTGAGAGTCGGACAGCGGTACGAATCTCACCCTCACCCGAGACCCACTCACACTGCCCCCAACCCAGTGACACACTGCCCAGTGGCACTCACACTCACAGCCCTGACCCTATGGGGCTCTCCCTGTCAGATCGCACCTGAAGACTTTCCTCTCTGACTGTGTCCTACTCCCCCACTCCCCCCCCACTCCCCCGCGCTCCCCCCCACTCCCCCCCACTCCCACCGCGCTCCCCCCCCCACTCCCCCACTCCCACTTTCTCCCCCACCATTCCCCCGTCCTCTCCCCCCGCTCCGCCGCTCTCCCCCCCCATAGCCCCGATCAACCCCACCCCAGCTCGAGTCTGAAATGCTGTCACTGTGCAGCGCTTTGGGACGTCCTCCCGACATGAAAGGCATTATGCAAATGTAATCTTGTTGTTGATTGTATACCAATGTACTGTGTTATATTGACATGGTGTCCTGCCTTTTCAGAACCCATTGGATGGCAACACCGCTCCCTCTGGCTCCTTCCCCCGTGAATGTTCCTTTGGAATGTCCTCAAGGCATGAAAGCGCTGTATTAATCTAAATTATACACAATAAAGGCATTGGTCTGCTTCACACACCCACCACACTCTCTCTTGGCCATTAGGCTTTCAGCAAATCTGCCCCCACTTGTTGGAACTACATCCTCTAGGAGGATGTAGTCTCTCCGTCGGAGAGACAGTCTAATCTGTCTCTCCGACTCCCTCCCTCACTCCCTCGTTTCTGGGGTCTGTCCCAAGACCTATCTATCCCGTCCCTACGCCTTTAGCTATCTTTCTCCTCACACGCCCCCGGCTCCCACTGCCCAGTGACGGTTCAGGTGCTCCGCCAAGACTGTCAGACAACTTGGGATGTTCTCGCAACATGAAAAGTGCTGCAGTCCCCGGCCTCACCCGCCCCAACATTAGCAAGCGGGCCTTCAGCCTCTCTGCCCCCACCCTCTGGAACTCCATCCCACAGTGCCACTTTACCCCCTTCCCTCGCCTCCTTCAAGACCCATCTCAAGACCCTCCTCTTCGACTGCGCCTTCAATCACCCTCCCCTCCCTTGCACCCAACCCCCAGCTCGTGTCCAAATCCCTGACTGTCCAGCACCTTTTGGGACATCCTCCTGATGTGAAAGACACTGTGTAAATGCCATTTGTTGTTGTTGCATAAATGTAAACCTGTCCTGCATCGTAACACAAGACCGCAAACAAAATCTTCAACATATTTTATTTAGAATGTGGCAAGTTTTTTTAAAAAAAGAAAGGACATTTGATCTTTACACAGTCAAGCCTCATCATAACAAACATCTTGGTCAGAGGGACAGCAGAATTGAGCCCCGTTTACCCCACTCGGCATATATTTATGTACAATAACAAAGCACCTCTAACAAACCTTTCTACTACCTTTTTATCTGACTTGGTTTGTTAGCTTGGTTGCAATGACTACATAGCAGCTGTTGATTTGACACTTGGTACCACTCTACATTCTTCCTGAGTGTATTCCCCACACCCCCAAATCAATCCCCTCGCAACTCTGACAAGAAAATACATCCCCCTTCTCCCCCCACACACAGAAACAAGAGCGCTACTAAAATAATAATAAAAATAATAATCCTTGCATTTGATATAGCACCTTATCACGTCTTCGAGACGTCTCAAAACGCTTCACAGAATATACTGTAAAGTGAATTGACTGTATATTTTGTGGGCGAAACGCAGCAGCCAATTGCGGACAGCAGCGTCCCACAAACAGCCGTGGATTGAGTGACCAAATTACAACTTTTTTTTTTGAAGGGATTATTACTAATTTGCAAATCAACTAACAACCAGGTTCCTACTTACTGCCAACTAAGTAAACAGGTTAGGTAAACAGGCGTGTCTGTGGGGTAAGGAAACTTGCCTAAGGTTTTGCCCTGACTGGGAATCGAACCCAGGTCACTTGTGAGGCGAGGGCTCTATTCAATAAGCTACAGGATTCCATAATTAACCTCCGAAATGGAGAGGAGGGATGGCCGGGGGTGTGGGGTGGGGGTGTGGAGAACAAAACGCATTCAAAAGAATATTTGCAATAATTAAATCAGACAATTCAAAGGTTAGATTTTGTAAACTCAAAACAAAGAAGGCAGCAGATCTCTGCAAATGAAATGGGTTGTTTTTAACTGAAACACTTGCTATTTTTTATTTTGGAGAAGAAAAAGTTTATAGAAATACTGACTGTAATATTATGTGCACAGTAAATTTTGTAAAACTAATGCAACTCTTAAAATTACTTCTGATTTATACATACTGTATATATCTTTTGATATATACACACACACGCACACAAAAGCACTAATGGAGCTGGGAATGAACAGAAAACGTCAATCTGGGAATCTTTTCAAGCAGAATATGGTAACTTCCATTTTTTTTAAAAAAAACTTAATTCCTTTTTTTTCTCATTCATCTTTCAACAAGTAACTAGTACAAAATCAGTGCATCTTGCTCGCAATTAGCTTACAGGGAAACCTTTTATATATAGAGAGAGAGGGAGGGAGGGAGAGACACACACACATACAGAGGGTTACCAAAAAGTTGTGATATCTACCCTATTATCTAAAAAAAACCAAAATATCAGCATTTTTTCAAGACGTATTAGACATTGTAATGGCACGACAACATTTTGGTCACTCTGCACGAGCGCACGTACACACACACACACACACACACAAATCGGTGTGCATCTCACTTGTACTAAACGGATACCCGAATCAGGAAACCAATTGAGAGGTTTCACTCTGGGAGGGTTTACAAATTAATATAGGAGTGTTTCTTTTTTAAAAACCAAGTGGTATAAAATCAAAAGAATTTTTCCTTTAAAGAAAGTAATTTATTTCTGCCTTTGAGGCTGCGCCTTCCAACACCACATAATGACCCAATCAGAATGGTGGGAAGATCACCAGGACCCCCCAGTTCACTAATACTGCTCTATAACCAGACACGGGAGGTTTGTCCACGTGGAGATGGCAAGCATGGCTCCCTCAATTTGATTCGGACATTCTAAAGTCCTGCGATGGGTTTCCCGCTGCTTGTCCAGCTCGGACCACCCTATCCGTTAGGGCTTTGGCTGCAGAGTTAATAGGAGCTGAGGGGGAGGATTCTCTGCCCCCAGTGACCGGGCGGCCCTTCCAGGTCCTGCTGATGAGCCGGGCCGGGCTGTGCGGCCATCAGCACTGAGTGCCCTGGGACACTGCAGCCCCTCCTGGCTCAGGAACCGGACTGTCACAGAGGGGGGGCTCGATCCCCACATTCTGTTGGATGTCACTATTTGGTTATTTGGGTTTGCAAATGTGTCATATCTCAAAAACAGCAAATCTACAGCCAGCAGTTTACACCCCTGAGGTTGCTAATCCTGCATCGGTCAGGCCTTTTTCTGGGTGGAGCCCTCAAGCTTTCATTTGGCACTTTATCATCTTCCACCAGCTCACCCTGGCCTCCCAAACCCAAATTGGCTTTAATAGCCAGCAATACTGTCAGACAGAGAGAGAATTCAACAAAGGGTGTCAGGAATGCAATTAGGAAGCTGCAGTGGAAATCATCATAATAATACTTGCATTTGATACAGTGCCTTATCATGTCGTTGGGACGTCTCAAGGCGCTTCACAGAATATACTGTAAAGTGGAGTGACTGTATAATTTTGGGGGCCAAACGCAGCAGCCAATTGCATATAGCAGTGTCCCACAAACAGTCGTGGATTGAGTCACTAAATAATTCTTATTATTCTTTTTGATGGGGGGGGGCGAGGCTCAGTCAAAGATTGTAATTATAACAGGAATCACAAATAGCAACTCCCAACACTCGCAGGAACTCAACTCTGACACGATCTATTTCTGAAGCTATTTGCTCCCATCGTTACAAATAGCGGGTTTTAAACTCTGTGTGTGTGTGTGTGTATGTGTGTGGGGGGGGGGGGAGAAGAAGAGAGGGAAAAACAACAATCTACAGCTGCGTCTCCCAAGAAATTTTCAGAAGGAAGCTTTGCCATTCTTCGATAGAACCTCAAATAAATCAATCGCCCCCCAAAAAACCTTAAATAAAAAATCCTCAATAGCGAATTCTTCAGCACTTTTCCTTCCCCCCCAAATCCAGCCGTGTCTCTCATCTGCTTTCTTCATCTGCTGAGGCTGATGGCTCGGAGTCAGGGTCTCTCCTTAGGTTAAATAAGTCTAATCAACCCCAAAATTGATGCTCAAATGATGCGATGCTCAAACCGGCTGGTGTGGACTGGGGGGGAATTGTTCAGTCCAGTTCTTTTGAAGGACTGATGCCCGATTAAGCTCTTCAGGCTGAAACCAAGAGAGCCAGACAACAACAGGCACTGGGGCTGCCAGCCCGCCTGGGAGAATGTTGTCAAGGTACACCACCCGGATTTGGTGGCAGAAAGAAAAAAAAACAGTTTGGAAGCTTTAACAATAATTTAACATAGAAAGGCACAGCCTAAGTTCATTCTGGCGTCCAATCACTCGTCCCTAACGCAGTCACAAGGCGGTTATGGCTTTGTCAGATGTCAAAGGGGGAAAAGCCGCAGTCAGTGTCAGACAGACAGACAGACAGAGACAGACAGAGCCCATTTCCGTAACATTGGCAAAAAGGACTTGCCGTTTTGCCGAATTACTATCATACGGGCCGTGCCACTCCCCAAAAAAAAGGCGTCACATGTCAGCTCCACATTGCGCATTCATGATCCCAAACCATCAGCTTCGACCCTCGCTCGCGTTGGGCACTTGGCGAGGCGGGAGGTCTCGGCCCCGAGGCAAACACAGCTAGTCATCGCCTTCCTCCTCTTTGGTGGCTGTGCTGCGTTTCATAAAAATATAAATCTCCCGCTCTGCAGGGAGACGGGGGACAGAGGGCGGTGGGTGGGTGGGTGAGCGTTTTGTCAGTCTATCTACCATCCCCAGGGTCTTCTTCTACCCACCCCACTATTTTGCCTTCCCAGCCAGGTACAATATCATGGTCGTGGAAAAGCTGGAACCAAACAAATAGCAAGTTAGGATCGAACAGTCAGTCAATAACAATAACAATCATAATCCTTGCATCACGTCTTCGAGATGTCTCAAAGCACTTCACAGATTATACTGTAAAGTGAATTGAGTGTATATTTTGTGGGCGAAACGTGGCAGTCGGTTGCGCACAACAGCGTCCCACAAACAGTTGTGGTTTGAGTGACCAAATTATTTTTTTTTCTTGAGGGATTATTATCAGGTGTGTGGAGTAAGGAAACTTGGCTAAGGTTTCGCCCGGCTGGGAATCAAACCCAGGTCTCTCGCTTGCGAGGCGAGTGCTCTAACCACTGAGCTACAGGACTAACAAATGATCTCCAGCATGCCGAGAAAAGTCCTGAGCCTTACCTCCTCCTTCACCGTGCCGAATTCCGGGTCCAGGGCTTTGAAATGATATCTGTAATTCCCTTCCCGATCGATTGCTTCTTTGAAGTCTTTCAACGCTACTTCCCCAAGTCTGTAAGGAATGGGTTTGGGGACAAAATGGAGACATTGTGTGAGATCAACCAGTTTGGGTTTATTTTTGGCTGGGTAGGTAGGTGACATACTTGGAAATCCAGTGCTTAAAAGGGCAAGACATTCACATAGATTTACAGCAAGATAAAGGTCATTATTATCATTATTCAGCCCAACAAGTCCGTGCTGGTGTTTATACTCCTCACGGACCTTCACCCACCCCTTATTCCCTCCTATAATAATCCTTGCATTTGATACAGCGCCTTATCATGTCTTCGAGACGTCTCAAAGCGCTTCACAGAATATACTATAAAGTGAATTGACTGTATATTTTGTGGGCAAAACACAGCAGCCAATTGCGCTCAGCAGCGTCCCACAAACAGCCATGGATTGAATAACCAAAATTTTACGAATTTTTTTTGAAGGGATTATTACTCCCCTGGAGAAGTGATCCACCAATCAACTAACAACCAGGTTCCTTCTTACTAACAGAGGTGTGTGTGTGGAATAAGGAAACTTGCCCAACATTGCGCCCTGCCAGGAATCGAACCCAGGTCCTCTTGCTTGCAATGCGAGTGCTCTAACCACTGAGTTACAGGACTCCTATACTCTGGAACGGCAGACCAGTCACTGGGGGCAGGGGGTGTTCCCCTCTCAGCTCCTGTTAATCCTAGCCGAAGCCCCATAGGCTGGTCCTAGCTGGACAAACAGCGGGAAAGCTCGTCATATCAGCGATATCAACAGCAAGCTTTGCAGTTTTTACTGGTTAGACTCCAGCACTTACCTCAACACACACTCTGGAGACCCTAAGCTTTGGCTCTTGCCAACCTGCGCCTAATACTTTCCAGAATTTGATAAGCAGGATGTGTCTCTCCAGGGGGAAGAAGAGAGCACATTCCATCGCCAAAAATATCTCTGAAATTTCCATGTGTAGGTGGAGGCAGGGAATTCTCATTTTGATTTGGATTCCCTTAAGCACAGTGATGGGTTTCCGCAAGTGTCAGCCCCTCCCCAGCCCCCCACCCAAAGAAAATTCCTCCTTCATACGCATATCTAATTCCAGTCTGTGTGGAACATGTCCAGTTTGGAAATGTTTGTGGGAGGGGGAGATCTGAACTCTCTTGCAGATCTTTTGCTCGACATTTATATCGCTGCCTGGCAGCTTTCCCACTTCTTGTCCAGCTAGGACCACCCTACCCGTTAGGGCTTTGACTTGCAGGGTGAACAGGAGTTGAGGTGAGGGTGACCCAGTACAGGCAGATTGGAGGGACGTCGTGTAGACATAAGTATAAGTCGGCTAAACAAAGACACCAAAAACATTTTCAATGTATCGTAAGTACCTTTTTTTTTTAAAGTTATGCTATTGTGATGAAAAAAACTCAGGATTAAAGTAAATGAATGCTTTCCTCTTCTCTGCCCCTCCTCTCTCCCCCACCCCATAAAGAAATGTATCCCAGTGATTTCAGGTGCACGGAGGACGCATTACTTGCCTCTTTGGAATGTTTACCATAAACGGAACCAACGATCGATCTGTGAAATACACCACCTTGGTGTAGGCAGTGCTGCTGGAGCCAGGGCTGGCGTGAGAGCGGTGAGCCTCTGCCAGGAAGAAGAGGAGATTTTAAACTCATTGAATATTTTGGTACATAACCTTTGCATTTGATATGGCGTCTTATCACGTCGTTGAGACGTCTCAAAATGCTTCACACAGAATGTAAAATAAATTTGTGGGCGAAACGCGGCAGACAATTGCGCATAGCAGTGTCCCTCCCACAAACTGTCGTGGATTGAGTGACCAAACTATTTTTACATGGTGGTGGTGGTGGTGGGGGTGGGAAAAGATGAAAGCAAATCTCTATTCTATAGCAATTTGCACCCATCAACGTCTCATATAACAGCCTTGAAATGAACGACCAGTTTTATCCAGGGGATTGCTGGCCAGGACACCAGGAGAGAGAAATTCCCCTCTCGTGGAAATCAAATTCCGTAACTCAAAGAAATTGAGGAAAAATTTATAATTCAGATGTTTAACTCTGCAGAGATTCGAAGCCCAGCTGGTGAATGAAGACAGCAATGAAGCACTTGTTAAATCATTTATACCAGTCAAAATGTCTCTCTACATTTTGTGAGGCTCAAACTCTTGCTGATTGCTTTGAACACCAGGTGGCGATTGAGAAAACGATTAAAATTTCAATGATCATTCTTGCATTGGAATCAGAGCCTTTAAAGTGTCGGTGAGACACTCAAACAGCTTTGCATGAATTACTGTAAAGTGTGGTGACTTTGAATTTGTGGACAAATGCAGCAACCCATTTGCACACAGCAGCGTTCCCCAAACAGCCATAAAATGAATGACTTTTATCTATGGAATTGTTAGACGGGAGAAATGTCCTTCTCTCTTTGAACAGCGCCACGAGATCTTTAATGTCCACCTGAACGAGTTGTTGGGATCTGGAATGTGTTGCCTGAAAGGCTGGTGGAAGCCGATTCAATAACAATTTTTAAGAGGGAAGTGGATAGATATTTGGGGAGGACAAGTTTGTAGAGCTCTGGGGAGAGCGCGGGGGAGTGGGGTTGATCAGGGCTATGGGGAGAGAGTGTGGAAGAGGCGTTGATTTGGAAGCTCTTTTCAAACAGCGGCACAGACACGATGGGCCAAATGGCCTCCCTCTGTGCTGTATAATTCTATCAATCTATGATAAGTTAACAGACAGGACCTCGGTTTAACGTCTCATTCGCAGGACGGCACATTGACAATTCAGTGCCAGCCTAGACCATGAGCTCAAAGTCTGAATGTGGGGCTTGAACCTTCTGACTCAAGAGGTGAGAGCGCTAATGACTAACTGAGCCAGGCTTATAAACAGGGTAAACGTTTTATCATTTTACATCACAACGTTGCAATGTAAAATATGTGCCACAAAGCTAGCAAAGTGGATTGTTCTTACTTGTATTTGGTGACCAGGATTCTCTCTCTGTACTGAACCCTCTGTTCATTGAAGGTTTCACAGGAGGCTGTGAGAAACAAGAATTGATAATAATAATCCTTGCATTTGATACAGCGCCCTTACTACGTCTTTGAGACGTCTCAAAGCGCCTCAAAGAATATACTGTGAAGTGTAGCGACTGTACATTTTTGGACGAAACACGGCAGCCAAATTGCGCACAGCAATGTCCCACAAATAATAATAATCCTTGCATTTGATATAGCACCTTTACCTCAGGACTCACAGCGCTTCACAGGATTTTACTTTAAAGTGAAATATTTATTTAATAATAAAGGGATTCGATAGGGGAGATACAGGTAAACTATATTCTCTGGTGTGTGTGGAATCCAGAATAAGGGGCATTGTCTTTAAATTAGAGCCAGGCCATTTAGGAGTGAAATCAGGAGGCAGTTATTCACACAAAGGGCAGTGGAAATCTGGAACTCTCTCCCCTAAAAGGCTGTGGATTATGGCTGGATTCACTCACATCTTCAAGACTGAGGTAGATTGATATTTATTAGGTTAGGGTATTAAGGGATAATAATAATAATCCTTTCATTTGATATAGCGCTTTTCACGTCGGGAGGACGTCCCAAAGCGCTTCACAGAACACACTGTAAAGTGAATTGACCGTATATTTGTGGGCGAACGCGGCAGCCAATTGCGCACAGCAATGTCCCACAAACAGTCGTAGATTGAAAATGACCAATTTATTATTGTTTTTGGTTTTATTTGGAGGGATTATTATTAGGCTCTGTGTGGAGTAAGGAAACTTGCCCAAGGTTTCGCCCTCTGCCTGGAATTGAACTCAGGTCTCTCGCTTGCAAAGCGAGTGCTCTAACCACTGAGCTACAGGATATGAGGCAAGGGCAGGTAACTGGACTTGAGGTACAGATCAGCCACAAATTTATATAATGGCGGAAAAGGCGTTAGGGGTTGAATGGCCTACTCCTGTTCCTATGTTTCTAAGTGTAGTGACTGTGTATTGTGTAGCTTGTTATCCAAATGCAAATCATTCTTGTTTGCATAACCACCTAATTGGTATAACTCAACGTTGTTGAGAAGCCCAATGTGACTTTGGGGTGGAAGGGAATGGAACAACCTGGGGCAATGATGAACATCACTTAAGGACGACAGACAAAAGCTGCATTGAACCAAGACTCACAACACCAGCCTTTTGGTCATTAAAGCTGTTTCCTCATTGCTTCCAGGTTGTGTCTGATCCACAATGATAACAGAAGCAGCAACATTAATCATCTGATTATCTTTGTGGGCTTCACTGTCTTGTGTGGGTCAGATGACCAAGCTTATGCAACAACAATAAAGAACGGCAATGTAACACCAAACCGAGCTATGGAGGAAGGTCGATACAGTCATTATCCTCGCAATTTGATGGAACACCTTTCGCAGCAGAGGGACGGTCTCGAAAACATCTCACAGGATGTCACTGTAAAGTGCAGTGACTGTATTCCGTAGACCAGCGGGGCAGCCAATCTGTTTTACACAGCGATGCCCCACAAACAGCCATGAATTGAATCAACAATCAATTCTATCTGGGGTTACCTTGCTGGCACCTCTGCCCTGTATCTCAGCAATGTGCATTCGCTCCAGCAAACTGGCAATGCCTTGTTCCAGTGTGTCGATGGTGTGGTGCTGGGGGTCGTGGTTGCTGAAGTTGTTCCTTAAACTACGTAGAGAATCCCGCACGATCTGCAGGTCGTCAGTCTGTAAACGAGAGGAACAGAGAGGCTAGAGTCTGTGCTGCCAACACAAGACTGAGGCCGAGCCAACTGACTCAACGCAACGATATCACCATATATTCTGCTCGTCCCACACAGAGTTCAAATTCTTTCACATTAAGCCATACAACAACTGCGTTTATATTGTGCCCTTCAAGTAGAATAATGTCTAAGCATTTTGCATTCATCACTGAATGTGTGATTGGGGAAAAAGGAGGTGTCCATAGGCATATTATGCCCCCAATCTCTGTTCCTCCGCCTCACCCCTTCACTATCTATCTTCAAATCCCACCTTAGAGGTAATAGCTTCACCTTAACTCTAGAACCACACTCTTCTCCCTTCCTCCTAGCTCAGGGTCCAACTCCACCCACTGTGAAGCGCTCCGAGACATTATCCTAGTCAACGGGGCAAAACCTTAGGCAAGTTTCCTTACTCCACACGACTGTTTACCCAGCAGTAAGTAGAACCTGGTTGTTAGTCGATTGGCGGATCACTTTCCGAGGGTAATAATCCCTTGAAAAAAAAATAATTTGGTCCCTCAATCCACGACTGTTTGTGGGATGCTGCTGAGCGCAATTGGCCTCTGTGTTTCACCCACAAAATACAGTCAACTCATTTTACAGTATATTCTGTGAAGCGCTTTGAGACAGCTCAAAGGCGTGATAAGGCACGTTAGCAAATGCAAGTATTATTAAGGGCGATGTGTTAAAGGTCAGTGGTTGTTATCCATAAAACAGTAATGTCTCATTAAACTGCCCCTGGAAGGAAGACAGAGTCTACAAACAATGGGGGAAGAATATTTACACTGTTGCTGAATTCAGTCCAATAGGGCGATGACAGCCATAAATAGTAAAAACTCCTCACTGCATAAAGAACATCTGACAAAGTGATCGTGGACAGTAACGGCACTCTCTGGGTCTCTCCTGTTCCCCGGGGAGATTTCCTAGCACGCTGTAACCCTCAATCGTAAGGTAATTATCTGCATGGAGTGTGACCTAGATTTTGCTCTGCTGCCGAGCTCACAGTTTAGGAATTATTCCTGTCCGACTGTTGGAATCTATTGAGCCTATTGGGTGAGGATGCCCTACTTTTATCACGTGGCCTGAAGCAGCAGAGGGCGAGTGTGCTGTGTTCCTGGTCGAGTGACGTGATTGACCAGCGGAGGGAAGGGGGCCACCCGAAGACATTTGAGGGGTTAGCAGTGCCAACCGCTCTTACAGTCGGCTATAAAATAAGATGAACAATCCTTGTGTTTTGATGTAGCGCCTTTCATGTCAGGAAGGGGTCTCCAAGCCCTTCGCAGGATACGCTCTGAAGTGTAGTGACTGTGAACCCAGTAGGCCTTTGAGTATAAGCCAAAGAGTCGATGCCTAACTTATACAAATCATTAGTTTAGACTGTAGTGCAGCTTTTGTGACCTCACTTTAGGGAGGGTGTCAGGGCCATTGAGAGGGTGTCGGGGCCATTGAGTGGGTGCAGAGGAGATTTTGGGTTATGCCAGAGATGAACAGAGACCAGAGGAACTGGGATTATTTTCACTGGAACAGAGAGGGAGAGAGGAGACCTGATCGAGATCCTCAAGTTGATGAGGGTTTTCACGGAGTCAATAGTGATACATCCCCTGGCTGTTGAGTCAGTGACCAGAGAGTATTGATTAAAGGTAGTCACCGAAGTAGCAATAGAGGACATTAGGAGGAATTGTTTTGAACACCAAGTGTTGTTAGGATTGTGGGATACGCTGCCAGGTGCAATGAACAGCACTTAGCTTTCAATAGGAACTAGGCAGATATCTAAACCAGGACTAATTTGTAGAGGTAAAAGAGTGGTGGGGGGAGGAGATCAACAGGACAGAAAGGATTGCTCTTTCAAAGAGTCAGCAATGGACCCAACGGTTAAAGTGACTGGAATGGCCTAGGCATGGAGAAAGGGTCTAGACAGAGCCTGAGTGATTTTTTTTTTATCTTCTATAATAATAGTAATAATGATCTTACCTCCAGTTTCTGTGTTGGCGTTAGGCTGTCAGTGTGGCTAACTGACTTAATAATAATCCTTGCATTTGATACAGCGCCTCATCACATCTCAAAGAGCTTCACATGATATATTGTAAAGTGTATTTTGTGGGTGAAACTTGGCAGCCAATTGCACACAGCAGTGTCCCATAAACAGTTGTGAACTGACTGAGCAAATATTTTTGCACATTATTCGATAACTACTTTTAAAAAACACGGTGGATGGGTATTTGAGGAGGACGGGTTTGCGGGTTAGGGGAAAGGGCTGGGGAGTGGGATTGACATTGATTGCTCTTTTCAAAGAGCCGGCACAGACTCGATGGGCCGAATGGTCTCTTTTTGTGCTGTACGATTCTATGATTATGCACATGGCCAGTGTTTCTCTAAATTACTGACGTAACATTGAGTTGGGGGGAGAGGATTATCAGATCAACATTAGCGATCTTTTTGTTGCACTTTAATGAAAAGATCCCCCATCAAGACTCTTCCCATTTGATAGGTGACTGCTCCATAATGTTACCACAGGTTAATCGGCAATTCATTTGCTAATAAAAAAGCTCTCAGGTTAATTTGACATTAATCCAAAAGAGAAACTCAACAACAACAACTTGAAGGAGGTTGATATTTTCATCACCATATATTTTTTAAAAGCCATTTTTGAATTGTCTTGTTAACAGCCCCAGTTGGACTGATGATTATTGGAACCATGTTACAAAATCACCAACAACAACAACAACAACTTGAGTTTATAAAGCGACCCTCACGCTGGGCAGCGTCCTGGAGCGCCTGACAGTGGTGGAGCCTGACACCGAGCTGGGGAGAGTGGGGAGGTGACGGTGGGCATGGTTGAAGGGAAAGGTCTTCAGGCGTGACTTGAATATGGGGAAGGAAGGGGCAAGGTGGAGGGATAGAGGAAGAGTGTTCCAGAGTTTCGGGAAGTAGTGGCTGAAAGCGTGGGCACTGATGGTGGAACGGAGGGCACAAGGGACATGCAGGAGGCCGGAGCCAGACAAGCGGAGGCAGCGGGTAGTGGGAAGGGGAGTGAGCAGGTGGGAGAGGTAGGGAGGTGCCAGGGCATGAAGGGCATTGAAAACGAGTGTGAGGATCTCGAAATCGATCCACCGATACAGAGCTAAACAGTAGCCCATTGATCTGATCTGCACTCACCCCTCTGTACACCTGAGGTGTGGGTTTGGCAGCAGTGGTCGACACGCCATTGTCCTGTGCTGGTCTACAGGAACACGCAAGTACCTGGTGACACGTGAACAAAAGTAGCTCAGCAATCCTTAGGGGCATCAATGGAACAGCAAGTAATTTCTTCAGCAGGTTTGAAAGAGGATCAACTCAGAACAATTTGGTTATCAGAGACACACCAGGGCCAGAGACAACCGAGAATAAAAGTAACATAAAAAAAATTATATAAAGAATTAATGTTATATAAATGGCTCATTTGAGAAGTTAACAAGGGCGACGGCCTGTTTTCTTAAAATAACAAGTTAAACTTGATCTGAGACAACTCTCTACTTCAGGCTTGCCTCAATCTCTCCGCCTCGCCTCGTCTTCAGATCGCACCTGAAGATTTTCCTCTTCGGCTGTGCCTATGGCCACCTTCCCCACCATTGTTAAGCGCTACCTGTGAGATGCTACCATCAAAGCTCTTATATAAATACAAGGGGTTGTTGAAATAGTTACTGTAAGGCTAATGGGGGGGGAAGATAAATGCTACGAGTTTACTTCATTGCTGGAGATTATAATAATAATCCTTGCATTTGATACAGCGCCATATCACGTCTTTGAGACATCTCAAAGCGCTTTATAGAATATATCATAAAGTGAATTAACTGTTTTGTGGGCAAAACGCGGCAGCCAATTGCACACAGTAGCGTCCCACAAACAGTCATGGATCGAGTGACCAAACCAATCGACTGCCAAGCTTACTGCCAAGTAATCAGAGGTGCGTGGAGTAAGGAAACTTGCCTAATGTTTTGCCCTGCCCAAGAATCGAACCCAGGTCCTCTCGCTTGTGAATCAAGTGGTCTAACCACTGAGCTGCAGGATACTCAGATCCAACTAACCCGTAGGAAGGTGAGGCTCACATTTTGATTTGCAGACAAGGAGTTAGTAGATGGAGTTATGCAACTCAAAGTCATTGTACTCTGGGGATTGGCTTTCGTTTTGCCAGTTAATTTCCGTGCACCTCGAATAACTACACCATTGTATTCTAACTGCTCGAAGCCCATTACAGTCTTGTCCCATTACAAGGCATTACATAAACATCATGACCATGACTTCTCAGCGAACGCTGGAACGAAGGGCGACTGTCCTCATTAAACGTTAAAAATAGTCGGTGGTTATTATAAGACATTTATTAATACTGAAAACAAATCGACCCAAGAAAGCAAAGGCTGTAATCATTTTTCTCTCTCTTTCTCGCTAATGGAGTTATGTTATACGAGCAAATTTCTTTACCAGTTCCCGGTGTGATATGGATTTCTTTTTGGATCCCCTTAATGAACCGTTTCCGTTTCTTATGCTCAAGGTTTGTGGTAGGAAGACCTTACATTGCTCCCCTATAATCAGTCAGTACAAATATAGCCTGGGTCACTCACAGGGTAATCATACCCCTAGCCGCCCCGTTTAAACAAGCCAACTATCAGTCACACTTTGCTATAACAATCCTCCCTGTTTTGCCTAACAGCAACTAACATAACTGCCCTTTGCCAAGAACACACTTGTATTCCAAGGCAACAGCACTTAAGGCCCCAACTGAGACGTCACTCTTACGTGGGGTGTTTGAGACTCCACGATGCCCAGTAACTATGTGGTGGGTTATTCACGATGAGTTAACTCTTGACTGTCATTCAATTAACATGACCGATATCCTCTCTACAATGGACGTTGCTGAGCGCCCACTGACAGGACACAGGGAGTTGGCAAAGTCATGCTGGTCAGCAACTTCCCCTAGTTTAAGCTCATCTTAAAATTATGCCATTGTGAATTGGCGCAGAATTGTGGAAGGTTCTTCAATTCAGTCTTAATTCCGAAGCCGTTCTCCCACAGTTCTTACACAGAGGTTACTAATCAGTCACAGCGCACCTCCCCGCCTCTCTTCACCACCTGCTGAAGAACAACAGCCTTGTGTTCCAGCTCCCTCTGCAAGTTAGTCTGCGTAGAATGGCACAGGTTCCCAATTAGAAGCCATTCATTCCATGCGTCAAACAACACATCACTGATAACATTCCGCCCACAGAACACAGTCACTCCATTTTACCATATGCCCTGTGAAGCGCCGTAACAACGTGATAAGACGCTGGATCAAATGCAAAGATTATTATCGTCACTGACTAGCTTTCCTGTCCATAAACTACAGCTACTCCCAGACTCTGCCCCCGAATCCACTCCTGTACTAGACTCGGCCCAGCCAACAATCCCGTCCTCACCAGGCTCCCAACAGATGGATTCATGGGTACCACACCCTCGCCTATAGAGACCATCACATCCCAGCATCTCCCCCATCTCCATGATCTTCATCTACCCCACTCCTCCGTTCCACCTTGGGATCTGCTCTGCGTCCCTTGTCCCCTCCCCGCCCCGCTGTGTCAAGCAAGTAACTTGAGACGTACGTAAGGGAAAACGGAACAAAGGAGTATACAAAATAGTCACTTCACAGTATATTCTGTGAAGAGCTTTGAGACGTCCCGAAGATGTGATGAAACACTGTATCAAATGTGAGATTATTATTATCATTACTATATACTGGAAAAAAGTTGGGATTTGACAGTAACTTGATGTTGAGACCAATGGGATACTTGGAGCAAAACAGGAAACTCGAGAAATTGCTTTAATTTCCCCAAAATATCTAGAGTGGGGGGGGGCGACAGAGAAAGTGGGGAAACTCTGCCATATCGAGCAATGCAGCACACTGAAGGAAAGGAAAAGATAATAGATATTGCAAGAATGCAATGCATCTAAAGTCTACACGTAAACCTCAGAACATGTAGAGGCAGCAGGAGTCAGGTTCTGTGGTTCTGATTCTATTCTAACCCTTAAAGGATTAAAACAAAAGTAGAATAAACTCATGAGATAGGCACTCATGAGGCACCTTTTATGGATGTTTTTCTTTTCTGATGCCCTCCAACACTCCCCGCCCCACCTCCCAGCTAAAATTGCTTGTTCACTTCTTGGCTGTGTGCGGGTCCTTGCTGTGTACAAAATGGCCACTCAGTTTGCCTACAAAACGCAGTCACTACACTTCATAGCAGTCACTACAGTCACAACACTTTTATAGTGGGTCCTGTAAAGCTCTTCGAGACGTCCTCCTGACGTGAAAGGCACGGAGTCGAAGTGAGGAGTTATTTAACGAGACAGGGTAAGGCTAAGTGGGCCAGGTTCTGACGGGCGAGGGAGGCATCTCTGTGTACCTTTATGTGACTGGCCTCCGCCAGCTTCCTCACAGCCTCCTCCAGCTTCGCCTGGTGCTGCTGCAGCATGCGGTCCTTCTGTCCCAACTCTCTCTGCAAAGGAAGAACAGAGCAGGTCACACATCACCCACGCTGCGGCGAGAGGACAGGAGGGGATTGGGGGACGGACGAGGGGAAAGATTTACTATGGGCCCTCAAGACTATCTGAAGACTGTCTACACTCTGCCTCACCCCCCCCCACCACACCCCCAACATTGTTTTATTTTCCAGTCTAAAGTTAGACACCCCTAGCATCTCCCCATCTCCGTGATCTACGCTACACTTCTCCGCTCCCCCACTCCAACATGGGGTGGGGGCTTGAGGGTGGGGTGGTTTGGGTGAGGTTTCAACCAGAGGGAGTTTATTAAAACTCTTTACTTTAAATTCTCCCAGCAGTCTGCTCCGCTCCTCAATCTTCCTCTGTAGATCGAGCTGCCGGCAAATAAGGAAAAAAAAAGACATTTACTAAAAAAAACTTAACCGTCACAAAAAACACAAATGTTGATTCTGTTCTGATAAAAGTTAAATATTGCGCCAACACCTCCCCCCATCCCAACCCTCCTCCCCTCACCCCTCTTCATCCTCCCCCACCTCACACCATAAAAGAGTTCACCTATAAACTTCGAGTTGATAAACCTACAAAAATGTCCGACAGACAAATGCGTGAGTCACTGCACAGACTGTGCACTGCACACTATAGCCGCCACTTTCTGTGCAGGTAAATTATACGCAGGGATACGGGGCCAAGGTGGGCAACTGGAGTTGAGTTACAGATTAACCCTGGCGGAACAGGCTTGAGGGGCTGAATGGCCTCCCCCTGTTCCTATGAAACTGGCGGTGGGTGTGAAGCAGCAAGTGTTGGCCGCGCATCTGCATCCCACAAGCCTACCGAGCGAGCAATAAATGGGGCCGGTGCTTTATTGTTGGGAGGGAGGGAACGGACGGGGGTGGGGGACGGATGGAGGCGTTATAAACGGGTTAAACAAAGCGAGGTTCCTCACGTTCTGGCTGAACAGCTCGTCCTTGGCCATGCTCATGCGCAGTAACTCCTGCTTCAGCTGCAGGATGGAGCTTTCCTGCTGCACCATCCTCTGCTGCAAGGCATCCTGACAAACAAGATGGAGACACGAGGGCGGGTGGGAACGGGGCTCACGGAATGGCTTTGCTCGGACGTCGCCCACCACAAACTGTTCGCCTACAAGACACTCAGTCATGTGCTCTACCCAGTGTTTATGTGAAGGGCTTTGAAATGTCCTGATGTGAAAGGCACTGGATGAGTGGGAGGGGCACGGAGGGAGGGGCACGGAGGGAGGGGCACGGAGGGAGGGGCACGGAGGGAGGGGCACGGAGGGAGGGGCACGGAGGGAGGGGCACGGAGGGAGGGGCACGGAGGGAGGGGCACGGAGGGAGGGGCACGGAGGGAGGGGCACGGAGGGAGGGGCACGGAGGGAGGGGCACGGAGGGAGGGGCACGGAGGGAGGGGCACGGAGGGAGGGGCACGGAGGGAGGGGCACGGGAGGGAGGGGCACGGAGGGAGGGGCACGGAGGGAGGGGCACGGAGGGAGGGGCACGGAGGGAGGGGCACGGAGGGAGGGGCACGGAGGGAGGGGCACGGAGGGCTTGTTTGAGGCTGACCCTGTTCTGACACAATGCTCCTTTACTTAGAGCAGAGTAATGCCTTGAGGTGTAGCTGTTGGCCACGCACAGTGGGGGTCTCAGCAGCGAGGGACACGTTGCTGGGAGAGGGGGACGTCATTCACATCCTCACCTTTACTCCCTGGAGGTTCCGTGATTCTTGTTTGTATTTCAGGAGTTCTTTCTGCAATTTTCAGAAAACAAAAAGTAATTAATTTTGCTATATAAAAAGAATTCCCCCCCCTCTCCCCACCACCAGCCCCCCACCCAACACTCTAGCACCATAGAACTTTACCACACAGAGGGAGGCCATTCGGCCCATCGTGTCTGTGCTGGTTGTTTCAAAAGAGCGATCGATTCATCCCATTTACCTGCCCCTTTCCCCAACCCAGACCTCTGCAAACCTCTTTAGATATCTGCCTCAAATTCCCCCTCTGTCCCCTACCGCGCCCCATCCTGATATCCTGGTGAACAATTCCCCTGAATAAAATTGGTCATTCACTCCATGGCTATTTGTGGGAACAAAGCCAACAAACACTGTAACCATCCTGTCAAACAGTGTGAGTGACGTTACCAGGCGCTGCCTCATTATTATTATTATGATGATGATTATTTTTACCCACGGCTGTTTGTGGGACACTGCTGTGTGCAATTGGCTGCTGCGTTTCTCCCACAAAATATACAGTCAATTCACTTTACAGTATATCCTGTGAAGCGCTTTGAGAGTTCTCGATGATGTGATAAGGCACTGTATCAAAAAAGGATTATTATTATTTTTATCCACGATAGAAACGCATTCGGTTCCAACGTGAAACTCGGATTGCCCCACCCTCTTGGACGGAGGTTATTTATTTGTTTCCGCTGGCAACAGGGCATCGAGTAAATCAACAACGTTTCCCCCCCACACAATAAACATACCTTCAGTTCCTGACATTCTTCCATACTTTGATCCAGACGGCCCTTGATGATGACCTGATCAACACAAGAGATTAACACCAATGGATACAGTGCACTCACCGCCAGCAGAACAAACGGCTGTGTTACCTGGAACAAGACACCACTTACCAGTTGCTCCTCTGAGCAGGCTCCCTGCTCGGACAGGGGAAAGGATCCCTCTTGTTCGTCTTCAGGCAGCGAACCGTTCAGTAGCAAAGCCTGACGACAAAACATCGATAAATAAAATCTGGCATCAAATGGCCAGAAACCCACAGACCTGACCACACAGAGACTTGTGGATTTTACACAACGGGAGTAGCTTTACAGTCACACCACAAACCCCAATTTCATTGAAAAGGGAGTTGGATAAATCCTTGTGAAACAATAACAGTGGAGTCCTGTAGCTCAGTGGTTAGAGCACTCACTTTGCAAGTGAGAGACCTGAGTTCAATTCCAGGCAGAGGGCGAAACCTCGGACAAGTTTCCTTACTCCACACAGAGCCTAATAATAACCCTCCAAAACCAAAAACAATAATAAATTGGTCATTTTCAATCCACGACTGTTTGTGGGACATTGCTGTGCGCAATTGGCTGCCGCGTTCGCCCACAAATATGCAGTCAATTCACTTTACAGTGCGTTCTGTGAAGCGCTTTGGGACGTCCTCCCGACGTGAAAAGCGCTATATCAAATGCAAGGATTATTATTTAACAGTGAAAGGTTATGGGAGAGAGCAGGGAATGGGGTTAGAGAGCTCCAGTGGGGGAGCGAGCCCCAGCACAGATATGATGGGGGGGGGGAGAGAGAGCAGGGAATGGGATCAGACCCAAGTTTCACCTGAGCCTTTTTCCTGATCTACACACACAGGGTCTTTTTAAATTTAATTTTGAAAAAAAATAATTTATTATTATATATGAAGAAAACATCCTAAAAAAACACAAATACCTGTAAATAATAAGACATCACAATTTGTGTTTTTTTATTGAAACATTTGTTAAGATTTCATACTTGCAAAATGGAGATCATTTGCCTGGCTTCTTCCATCTCTTTTCCCAACTGATCCTGTTGATCCAGCAACTGATCTTCCCATTGATCATCATTCTCCTGCGTTTTTCCCGAAGTCATGGAATTCCAACCAGACGAGTTATTGTCTTCTGGGCAGAAAGAAGAGCTTTAATTGAAACTTCGAAAACAACAACAACAAACTTTTATATAGCAGTCCAGAATAATGGAAATCAATCAATCAGTCAAAGTAATCAGTCAGTCAATCCATCAAGTTCCAAGTCAAAGTGATGATGTGTAAAGTTGCTGCTCCCAGTAAATAATTTGTAAATAGATTATCCTTAGTTAATTTAATCAAATAAACTATTATTTATTAGTCATAATCACTGCATTTTGATTAGCGCCTCATCACGTCATTGAGACGTCTCAATCATTGTAAGTAAACCTCGGCTTACTTGGCCTTCTCTGTTGGTGGCTGTATACTTTGTGGGCAAAAAGCATTGTACATTAATATTAATTTATTATTCATAATAATACTTGCATTTGACAAGAGCGCCTTTCACATCGGGAAGAAAGTGCTTTGTAAGAATGCACGGCAGGTGTAGTGACTGTGTATATTGTGGGTGAACGTGGCAGCCAATTTGCACATAACAATAGCCCATAAACAGCCATGAAGTAACCAACCGATTTTATCTTGGAAAGGGAGGTGGAGGGGATTGTTGGCCTGGACACCAGGAGATGAGAGGAAATCCCTTCTCTTTTCGAATGGTGCCATGTCTTTAAGTTGTCCATCTGATCTTCACCTGACCACAAACAGAATGGTTCCTGCTTTCATTTCTACGCAGGAGAGTTTGTTTCTCTGCAGTTTGCTGTCAAAAATGATCTAGGATCGGGGTCAACTGAGCTTGCTGCAGGCTCCACATCTCATGTTGTGTTATTATGTCCTGTGACCACTCAGAAATGCTGGAGACCAGAGGCTGCACATCACATAGATAAAATACAACACTGTGTTCCATTTATCTATCCAACTCGAGATTGAGGAGAAAAACCTCAGCTTACTTAGCTCTTTTGGTGGCCTTCAAAGCAAATTAATAAGAAAAACATTGATAGTTTTGAAAAGTAGCTGACAAGATACAGTCACTACACTTCACAGTAAGTCAGTCTTATAAAGTGCTTTGAGACGTTGTCACATCAAGACCTACAGACTGATTTGACTTCTTCCCCATAGCCTCAAACCTGAAGAATTTCTTAGCTCTTCAAGGCTTCTCTTCCTCCCACAATCTACAGGCTTTTAGCAAATCACAGAAATATACAACAACAAAATTACATTTATAGACAGCACAGAAGGAGGCCATTCGGCCCATCGCGTCTGTGCCGAAATACCCAAGCACGGTGCTAGCTGAACAATCCCACCTGATTTAGCTCACCGTCTCTCCTGCTCTTTTGAACCTGGTCTGCTCTACAGGCTCTGACCCTTTATTTAGGTTTCCCCGTAAAGAAAACATCATTTACATTTCACATTACAAGGCGTTCGAGATGATCCATATTGAGGTCACAAAGTAGGTGGGAAGGAGTGAGCAAAGGAGGGAGGGAGACTTGAGTTCATTGAAATCAGACCCTCAATGGATCAACACACCTCACCTTTTTCAGGCAACATCCTGAATTTTGACACTGGGATTAATCCTCCTCCTTGCATTGGCGAATGCACCAGCAGCTGATGGGTAAAGCTAGGTTCCGTCTGTCGCAGTTCCACACCATTGATTAGGGAGCCTGGAGCTTTAAAGGCTAAACCAGCCATATTGACATTCTTTGCTCAAACAAGCCTGCGTCCCTCAAGAGCTAAATAAATAGGAGTTTGGTCATAACCACAGACCAATGAGGAATCCTTGGTGTTAATTGGAAGCATCTGCAGCTCCTTCTTTGCAAATGGGTTTACACCTGGTTAGCCCAAACTGCAAGTTAGACTCACATGATCTTGCTGAAGACCACCAACTGAGATAGTTAAGAGAGGGAGATAGATACTTGGAAAGTAGCCATATTCAGGGATATGATGATCTGTTAAGTTATGATGTAAATGGTGGGACAGGCTGTGGAGGGGTCATTGGCCTGCTCTAATTCCCTCTCAACCCCATCACCACAGTCTGTTTGTGAGTGATACTATTTTAACCAGTTCTGATGAAAGGTCATCGACCGGAAATGTTAATTCGCTTCCTTCTCTCCATAGATACTGCCTGACCTACTGTGCGTTCCTTGGCTGTGAAGCCTTGTTGTGTTTATCAGGGTCTGGGTGACATTGGTGATTCTGTGTGGCTCGGAGATGTAGGTGTTGCTGAAGAGAGACTCGGATGTGCTTCAAACATTCCATGTGAGGTGCCAGCACTGGGTGCTTGGAATACACTGAACAACCAACCTGTCCACTCCCTCCACTCACCGGCCTCCGGTCTGCTTCATGTCCCCCGCGTCACCCGCCCCACCATTGGCTGACGGGCCTTCAGCTTCTCTGCTCCCACCCTCTGGAAATCCATCCTACATTCAATTTCGCCTCACCCCCTGCCTTGCTTCCTTCAAGACCCTCCTCTTCGATGGTGCCTTCAGTCACCCTCCCTGCCCTCACCCTCCCTGTCCTCCACAGCCTCCTGATCCCAACCACCAGCTCAGGTGCAAATCCCTGTCTGCCTTGGAAAGTCCTTCTGCCGTGAAAGACGCTGTGTAAATGTCATACCTTGTTGTTTTGTGTCAGCTCGGACCGACTTGTCCAACAAGTGCAGACTTAGCTCAGAGACGTCACTTACGCTCAATTACTTACATCCACCAGATGGAAAAACGGTTGCCAGCGCTCTGCGCTCTCGGACTTGCTGTCCTGACGGCACGAGACCGGACCTCACCCAGAGTCATCCTAGAGACCTGCCCAGGTGTGTTATCTCAGGACCCATTCGGGTTTCTGAGCCTCGGGACCTCTGGGACAGTGTGTGTGATCGGTTGTTGTACAAGTGGTAGTGTTTGTTACTCTAACATGGACTTTGTGAAGGTTCGTATTGCAATCTGGGATAATAATAATAATCCTTGCATTTGATATGGCGCATTATCACCTTGTTGAGTCGTCTCAAAGCTCTTCGCAGGATACACTGTAAAGTGGAGTGACTGTATTTTGTGGGTGAAATGCCAATTGCGCACAGCAACGTCCCACAAACAGTCGTGGATTGAGTGACCAATTTATTATTATTATTACTAGGGGATACTATCCCCAGAAAAGTGATCCACCAATCAACTAACAACCTAGTTCCTACTTACTGCTGGGTAAACAGAGGCGTGTGTGTGGAGTAAGGGAACTTGCCCAATGGTTCGCCCTGCCTGGGAATCGAACCCAGGTCCTCTCCCTTGTGAGGCAAGTGCTCTAACCACTAAGCTACAGGATGGTGAGGAAACGTACCTTGGGAATGTTGGTAACATGCGCTGGGAATATTTCACGATCCTCTTCATTAGAGCTCCGAGTATGTGGCCCGACGGGTATGAATATCCGGTTTGCAAGCTGGAAAACTCAACTTACCATCCCCATTCTCCCATTCTTCTTTCTGGCTAGATAATTCCAAGCTTTCATCCAGTTCGCTTGAAATAGACTCCTGTTTTGTGCTGTGGATTGGGCTCTGTGAACTGACACTGAAAGGGAAAAAGGAAACAATAATTCCCAATTATTATAATCATAATCCTTGCATTTGATACAGAGCTTTATCACGTCATTGAGACGTCTCAAAGCGCTTTACAGGATACACTGTAAAGTTGATTGACTGTGTAGTTTGTGAGCAGCAAATTGCACACAGCAGTTTCCCACAAACAGTTATGGATTGAGACTGTTATTCCACAAACTTCAGTTTATCTCTGTTCAGGGGTCAGACTGGCTCAGTTGGTAGCGCTCTCATATCTGGGTTCAAGCCCCTCTGTCAGGGACTTTGAACTCACACAGTTCTTGGCTGATGCTCTGATTACAGTGTGTAAAACATTGAGTGCAATGCCTTGTGTCAAGATATAGCAATAACAAATCTTGTGTTTGTTAGAGCATCTGTATCAGGTCATCGAAACCTCTCAAAGTACTTTACAGGATTTACTGTGAAGTGAAAGTGTATTCTCTACGATAACGCAGCAGCCAATTTTCACACCGTGACCCCCCCCACAAACAGCCACAGAGTGAGTGACCGATTTTGACTGGAGAGAAAAATGTCTCAAAGGGCCTCCAAACTGGGAGTGTTGGAGGGGTGAACCTGTCAGCTGATCTGCGCCAGCAACAACTTGCATTTACACAGCGCTCTTCCTGCAGGGCAGCATCTCAGAGCTTTCAACAGTGGCGAAGCCTGACACCCGCTCCGAGGGTGGGGTGGGGAGGAGATGTCCGTAAGCATGTTCGAAGAGGATGGTCTTCAGTCATGATCTAGAAGAGGGGAAGGAGGGGGCAAGATGGGGGGAGAGATCCAAACCAACGTCCCACTAAAATAGGACTGGAATGAGTTGAACGACCATTTAATTGGTGAAGTTGGATTTTTTGTGACGGTTGCATTTTCCACCACCAGGGGGCGTCGTCAGTCTCTCTCACCCCCCTTCCAATTTTCTTCCCCCTTCACCCCCCTGGCACACCCCCCCCGGCCACCCCCAACCGGCCCCCACCCTCCCCCACACACTTTCCGACCATCAGATTTTCCACAAGAATCTTGACTCACCGCGAAAAAAAAAGTTTCTCTGCAGCCACGAATTCTGTGGAAAAGTTTTATTGGCAAACTGTGAAAAGCCGTTATGTTAAACGTGGGATTTCGTAACAGCTCAGAACTGCGAGGTTCCCAGCTCTCGGCAAAAATATTCCCTTCACAAGGAAACTGCTGCTATTTGCATTTTTATCTCCAAAAATAGAACAGGTTATAGTTTTATAACTTATTTTATTTTGCCCGCAAAATACACAGTTAATTCACTTTACAGTATATTCTGTGAAGCGCCTTGAGACGTGATAAAGCCCTATATCAAATGCAAGGATTATTATTATTATTTCCAAAACACAGCCAGCTCTCTTTCCCCATGATTTGAATCTCATCTTCAAAGCTAATCTCTGTTTGTTTAAAAGGCAAATTCCTCTCAAAATAATAATCCTTGCATTTGATACAGCGCCTTATCACGGCTTCGAGACGTCTCAAAGCGCTTCAGAGTGTACTGTAAAATGAATTGACTGTATTTTGTGGGCGAAACTACACTTTACAGCAAAGAGCGTGACATGCTTTGAGGTGTTGTCCTGACATGAAAGGCACTGTGTCAAATGTGAGGATTTATTATTAATAATGTGAGGTTTGTCACCAACACTCCCTTACAATGACAGTGATGAAAAATAGTGGATATTATTGCAAAATAAAAGTCACAAACTGCACTGAGATTCCAGGAGAAAAATCAGCGATGTTGTGTGTTGCAATATTTGTATTGAAAGCTCCGAACAGAAATTTCTACAACATCAACATTTGCCGTCAGCAACGCATATAATAATAATTATCCTTGCATTTGATAGAGCACCTTATCACGTCTTCGAGACGTCTCAAAGCACTTCACAGTAAAGTGTAGTGACTGTATATTTTGTGGGCGAAACGTGACAGCCAACTGCACACAGCAGCGTCCCACAAACAGTCGTGGATTGAGTGACTAAATTATTTTAAAGTTTACTTTGAAGGAGTGCAGTTTGCAAACTCAGCAGCCAATTTGTGCAGAGTGACGTCCCCACAAACAGCTGTGAAAATACCTGCCCAATTCCCTGTGTTCTTTTCCTGAACTGGAAAGAATCTCTTCCCCCCCCACCCCCCCAGTGAGGCCTGGCTTGTGAAAACCTCTCCTGGAGCCGTCAATAACATTCCTGTCTCTGTGGCTCTGGGAAAGTCAATGCAACACGGAAAAAGGAGTTAAAGCAGCTTAAGAGAAGATTTCCCTCTACCCCCATCACCTCACTAACAACATGATGGGCAAGTGTACCCAAATCAAGATGTCACTCCCGGTTACGAATTACTCTCGTGGTTGACAATCCACCAAGTCCCACTAGCTCCTTCCCCATGACACTGTTTTGCGTTAAAATTTAAGTTACAGTAATAATAATAATATTCCTGGCATTCAATACAGCACCTCATCACGCCGATGAGACGTCTCAAAGCGCTTCACCAGATATGTTAGAGGGAGTTATGACTGTATTAAATGGAACAATTATGGAAAACTCTTAAATTGTCTTAATTTGAAAGCCAGTTTCTCTTTAAGAGATAGTTTTTATGGAGTGGCGTAGCTTAGCACTTAAGACGCTCACCTCACTAGCGAGAAGATCCGGGTTCAATTCCCGGGAGGAGCGAAACTTTAGGTAAGTTTCTTTACTCCACACTGCTCGGTTTACCGAGCAACACGTAGGAACACGGTTGTTAGTTGTTTGGTGGATTGCTAAAAAAAAATTGGTCACTCAATCCATGATTGTTTGTGGGACGCTGCTGTGCACTATTGGCTGCTGCATTTCGCCCACAAAATACAGTCACTCCACTTTACAGTGTATTCTGTGAAGTGCTTTGAGACGACTCAATGAGGTGCTGAGGCGCTGCATCAAATGCAAGGATTATTATTATTATTGCCCAGGGATACAGGGAGAAACAACTTCCCTTCTCTTTTACCAACAGTGTCACGGGATTTTCAACGCCCACCTGCACAGCAGACGGGACTCAGTTTAGACATCACATGGGACGTGAAATACTTATTTGCATCTGCAGTCGTCTAAAGCCATCTGGCATGGCCGGGCTGAGCCTTTGCCGGTCTCTTAGGCTTAAGAGTTCTCATCGGGAATAAAGTGCTGTGTTTCTCTGAGGCTCTGGGATGTGGCGATGGATCAGTCATCCCTGACAAAGAAGGTTCAGACAATGTGTCGGAGCTGGCTGGCTCTTAGCCAAGGGGTTTCACGACCATGATAGAGAGAGGGAGGGAGGGAGAGGAGGGTGGGGTGGATCGATGGTGGGAAGATTCTTATTCTGATGCAAAGCAGTCTGCAAGCGCAAAAAAAAGGCTTCCCAGGTTTCTTTTTGAAGCAACTGGGAAAAGTCTGGAGGCCCCTGTCTGCAAGTCTTTTGTGAGCCCTCAAACAGCGGGTTGGGGGGAAACACAGAGAGAGAAAGAGAGAGAGAGAGGTTTGTCACATCCACTGACCCGTCCTGACAAATGGCATCAAGTCCTGTGTCTGTGTTTGTGTTCATGTCTGTGCGAAGAGACAAAGGACTGATCTGTATATGTGCCGGTCTGGGGAGGCCATGGGATGGGTGACGGGGCGAGAGGAGAGTCAATATTTCGCCCCAAAACACACAGTCACTTCACTTTGCAGTATGTACAGTACGTCGCTTTGAGACGTCTCGACATAAATCCCGTGACGCTGTAGCAAATGCAAGTATTATTATTATCTGGGAGGGATGGGGGGAGAGTAAGAGTTAGTGGAAGTATGGGGGGTGGTGGTGGGGGGAGTAAAACGAGGGAGGGGCAACAGAATACCGAGACCCAGTACACGAGAGAAGTGTGACTTTTTTTTGTACTAGCAACACTAGTCCCTGCCCCTGCTCACCCTTTTGTATCTGGGGCGGCAAAGCATCCTGATTCCGTGCCCTAAATGCCACGGTCTATCAGCTAAGGAGTTGCTTCTGGATACTAGATACTGGATACTGGATACTCTAAGGATACTTCTGATAGATAAATGTTGGATATATGAACCTATTAACCGTCCATCTCTCCGGGCATCTGCTCAGTTAACATCTGGGAAGCGTGACTGAGCGCAGTCCGAGGCAGGAAATATCGTGAGATGCACTGGTCATGGCGGTGGAGTGACTGCTTCTTATCAGGGGGATTGAACCCACAACACTCTGACACGGAGGCAAGGGAGTTTTTGGCTGACCCAGGCTGACTCGCTTTGGAGCAAGTCACTGCTCCTCTATCTCAGGAGGACGTGACACAAGCAGGAGAGTGAGACAAGGAGTAGACAGAACTAAAGCGATCGGGGTATCTGCGCACTTTGCAATGATGCTAACAATTAGAAGCGGTCCCTAATATCGTGGCGACATTGGCTAATATATTCAGTCACAAATATTAGTAGCTATTATTTGGGATTAGCTGATGGATAGACTGCGGCATTTAGGGCAGGGAATCAGGATTCTTCGCTGCCCTAGATACAAAGTGAATTATTTGCCGAGCTCTAACTGGGCTCAGCTGATGAGTTAACTCTCCTTGAACCAAACCAAACACTCTGCCAGGCTTCGCAGGGTGAGAAGGTGACGCATGTGATAATTGTCACCCAATTCAGTTCCCCCCAAAAAACAACAATCTTCACATTCGGAACAGCAACAACAACCACAACAAGTTGCATTTACACAGCGCTGCTCATGTCGGGAGGATGTCCGAAGGCGCTGGACAGGCAGCGTTTTGGACCCGAGCTTGGGGTTTGGTATCAGGGAGGGTGGGAGGGGCAGAGCCTTGGCCAAATCACTGAGACGTCTCAAAGCGCTTCGTGGGATTTACTGTCAAGTGTAGTGACTGTGCATTTTATAGGCCAACCGGTGATAGGGGCACTGCCTTCAGGGCAAGTGGATTGTTGCAGTGAACGAGGTGTATTAAGGGACCATAAACACTAA